ACACCAGCCACTGACCCCAGAAATAATCAATCATGATCACACCAGCCACTGATCACCTTAGGAGTAATCAATCATGATCACACCAGCCAGTGATCACCTCAGAAGTAATCAATCATGATCACACCAGCCACTGATCACCTCTGGAGTAATCAATCATGATCGCACCAGCCACTGACCTCAGAAGTAATCAATCATGACCCCACCAGCCACTGACCTCAGAAGTAATCAATCATGACCCCACCAGCCACTGACCTCAGAAGTAATCAATCATGATCACACCAGCCACTGATCACCTCAAAAGTAATCAATCATGATCACACCAGCCACTGACCCCAGAAATAATCAATCATGATCACACCAGCCACTGACCTTAGAAGTAATCAATCATGATCACCCCAGCCACTGATCCCCTCAGGAGTAATCAATCATGATCACCCCAGCCACTGACCTCAGAAATAATCAATCATGACCACACCAGCCACTGACCTCAGAAGTAATCAATCATGACCCCACCAGCCACTGACCTCAGAAGTAATCAATCATGACCCCACCAGCCACTGACCTCAGAAGTAATCAATCATGATCCCCCCAGCCACTGACCTCAGAAATAATCAATCATGATCCCCCCAGCCACTGACCTCAGAAATAATCAATCATGACCACACCAGCCACTGACCTCAGAAGTAATCAATCACGATCACACCAGCCACTGACCTCAGAAGTAATCAATATCACACCAGCCACTGACCTCAGGAGTAATCAATCATTATCACCCCAGCCACTGACCTCAGAAGTAATCAATCATGACCCCACCAGCCACTGACCTTAGAAGTAATCAATCATGATCACACCAGCCACTGATCACCTCTGGAGTAATCAATCATGATCCCCCCAGCCACTGACCTCAGAAATAATCAATCATGATCACCCCAGCCACTGACCTCAGGAGTAATCAATCATTATCACCCCAGCCACTGACCTCAGAAGTAATCAATCATGATCCCACCAGCCACTGACCTCAGAAATAATCAATCATGACCACCCCAGCCACTGATCACCTCTGGAGTAATCAATCATGATCACACCAGCCACTGACCTTAGAAGTAATCAATCATGATCACACCAGCCACTGACCTCAGAAATAATCTATCATGATCACACCAGCCACTGATCTCCTCAGTAGTAATTAATAATGATCACACCATCCACTGACCTCAGAAGTAATCAATCATTATCACACCAGCCACTGATCACCTCAAAAGTAATCAATCATTATCCCCCCAGCCACTGATCACCTCTGGAGTAATCAATCATGATCCCCCCAGCCACTGACCTCAGAAATAATAAATCATGACCCCCCCAGCCACTGATCACTTCAGAAGTAATCAATCATGATCACCCCAGCCACTGCCCTCAGAAATAATCAATCATGATCCCACCAGCCACTGACCTCAGAAGTAATCAATCAAATAATAGCATGCTTACCAGAATATACTTTGAAATATTTATCTGTCATGAATTTTTGGTTCAAAATTGAACGAATTGTCTATAGAATTTAGATATCAATACTTCAGAAATTATAATATCACACATCAAATATTATTTTAAATTAAACAGGCACATGCAGCAACACTACAGGTGACGTGCATTTCATTAACACTAAACCTGAAGAAGTGACAGGAATACCTTAATGTCAAGTACTGGTGCTGTCAACAGGGCTAGCTAAGTATATGGTATACCAGCAATTAAACTGACTTTAATTAATAAATGGGTCAAGAAGTCCATCTTGTCTGACACTTAAAAACGAGACATTTTTTGTGATGGTGTATCTGACATTCATTACCTACAACTCAACATACATGTCTCCATCACATTTAGGCTCAAGAAAAGTCCTATAACAGTTTGATGGTGTACGGATGTGTCTGAAAGGGATCACCACAGCAACATAATTGTTTGTACCATTTCACATGGCAATTACATTTAAGGTCTTCACCCTAAGATCTTCAAACCTTAAACCACCACAAACTTATTTTCCATTACCACAATATAGGAATTTAGCGAGAAAACTTCAGAAATTAACTGGGGGTTTTGTAATGATAGTGCACATTATAATAAATATATGTATGTCTGAAATAAACAGAAACATATACAGCCATCAATTCCAATTCTTCATTGTGTTATTGATAATTTGATATTGTAGCATGTATATGTTAGACTACTACACTGTAGGTATTACAAAAAGCATGATGCATGATTGCACAGATCATTGACAACAAACTGAATGCAGTGATTAGGAAAGCCAGTGGCCATTTTCCACATTCAACTTTAAAAAAATCCTAAAAGGCTGAATGTGTGCTGCAGCCTCCCAACTCCTCTGGAGCTTCATATGCAGAAGCATCTAACATTAACTTGAAAAAAACCTACTTTAAATTAAATATGAAAATGATGCCATGTGTGTTGTGCTGTATAAACCATATTTGGTATTAATGAAGATTCACATAGCATCTTTACAATGAACTACATTATATATTGCAGAACAGCATAATTCAGAGATGTCATTTTTTTATCACCATATCACTAATTAAAAAGGAAGAAAAAAAATGGTAAATATAATAAATTATGTTTCTGAATTAAAATAATGCACTTAAATGCAGAAATTCATCAATTTCAAAATGAGAATAATTGTTTATATAATGTAATCTATTACACAGCAGTAATTTATCATCTGAAGATGCTAATGCCATGTAACTAATTATTATTCAGACTTTTATTTAATAATGAAACAGCAACTTCTCATCTGTGGAGAATATCCAAAAGAAAATTGTTTTAAATTCTGAACATGTTCTGTATGTTTTGACATCTCAAAACAATAAATTTCGATCAGCTATAAAAATGTCTGATTTATAAAACATCTGCTGATTGCTTTATAATGCAACTTTACTGATATTCCAAAGTTTGAAAAATATCTTGTGTCAAGAGATGATGATTGATAAATAGGTTTCATTGTTTTTCCGAGGTTTTAGCATTGTATACCAACCAAATTCAAAAGTGCCCAGTCCAATATAGTGGAACTATACAGTCAAGAGTGATATACAGTATACTTGGTCTTTAGCTTAGATAAACGATGTAATTAATTCTTCCCCGAGTGACAGACATGCATGCTTCCATTTTTGCGTGTATATCATTATGGTAAATTTTGCCTTAACAAACTCATATTTAAATGCACTTCATGCATTGCTGGCTTTGGAACAAATCAGGACAGTTTCAACTTTCAAGGCAATTTTGATATAAGGGGTACTTAAGGTATGAACACATCCTTGAAATTGAAGGTCAATGAAGACATTTCAGTTGAATGAAATACTAAAATGTCCTATAACATGTGGTAATATAAATAATTCCAAAATTAAGTGGAGGACATAAATCAAAATGTTTTCTTTGTTCAAATGTACAGAACAACACTTTTAAATATGTGTATATGAAAATAAATGACATGCAGCAAGTGAACTTTGTCACACAATTATGCTATGTAAATAGATATATTTTTCTTTCCACCAATATTTTGCATAGTTGAAATTCAGTTTCTATTTGAATGTCAAGCATATGCCCATATAATTTAATACTTTCACTGTTTTTCCAAGATGTTATAATTAAAACATAGTGGGCATTTATACATGTACCAAGCCAAACACTGGTTTATATTATGACACATTTAAATTTAATACAATTTATTTTTCTTATGAATGAAGAATCGCTTCAACCTGTCTTAGCTAGGTCAGTTTTCCTTTTTATGAAAAGGAGACGTGGTAGTTTTTAAAACTTGATATGCATTTTAGATTTTTTATGACTATATCCCTCGTAATATATGGTTCATATTATTGCTTTTAGTAGGCAGCATTACGATACTTTCACCATTCACTATAATTCTGTTTTAATGATTTTAGTAAATCTAAATTATGTATTTTATATGTATTTGATGTGTTAGTAATTGACAATCATCGAGGTCCCGATGATGGGGGAGGGGCCACTTGTCGGTAGGGATTGGCCCAACCACTCTCGCTCTTCTCCCACCATCGGATCCTAAGCATACATTCATTTTTTATGTTATGTACAGTATAATATATGGTTCTTTTTATTGAGAATCATTAATGGATTCTATGTTTTAATATATATAAATTTTATGTAGTGTCTCGTAAGTCAGTATGGCTGGGCATATTTTGCATATGTGTATTTTTATTATGTAAGTGATGTGTTATGTAAAATATGAGTGACACTTAAATAAAATATTTTATTATTATTATTATCATGTAATTGCATATTGTCCTAGGCTTATTAATGAATGGGACAAGGACATCTAAAACAAAAATATCCAATGCCTATACCAAGCAAACATTAAATCATCTGGACACCTGTATTAACCAAACATTCAGCTTAATCCAATTAAATTGAACTTGCATAATATAAGATTGCAAGTGTAGGAACAAATTTGACTAATACTTTTTACAACATTGATAAGGCAAAGTTTTGTTTAATCTGATCAATCACATCCAACAACTGACTTGCTTTAGAATTTTGGAAACTCTATAAAATCTCAAAACAATGCAGTATAAAGCCATTGGGTTGACAACAAAATAAAAGACAAATTAAAGTAATATAAAAAAGAGTCAATTGATAACAAAAATTCTGTCATTTTACAAACAATCTAAGTGATATTACTCTTCCAAATGACATAAGATTGACAGCTAAATAAAGTATATCCAGTGAATGGTGTCCCTCGGAGCAGTCTAACCACGGAGTTAGATTATCTAAGTCCGTGGTCTAACTAGACAGACGTGTCTGGCCAGTGCTACGGTATCTCTACCGCCAGGGAACTCCCTGTGGGACCGTTCACACCTGTCACCGGTGCTTCAATGGGTCAGCTATATATGTGTTTTATTATATAGAATTAGAAGAAAACGTACGGAACTATACAGAGTGTCAGGCAACATTCGTTATAGACTTACCGGGCTGTTGTAGGATTTGAAGGCGTAAAGAACAATCCCTACTATCCATATCGTCCCGAGGAACAGCACAAACCGATACTTTCGTCGCAACATCGAGGTGGTGGCCTGTTTTACTTCATAATGCCAGGGCTTCCGCTACTCAAACTATATTGACCAATCAAAATTGTCTATATTCATAAGCGCGTAGTATGTCAACATTAGCTGCCACGTGCTTCCGGTTATAGCTGTCAAAGTTTGTCACGCATGCTTTATCATCGGCTGTTTAACAGGAAACTACGATGGCCGATATGGGCCGGCAGAAACGTATCATGACTTTATATAAATCTGTCCGGCAGTTTTCTCAGAAAAAATTATGTCCATATGTCCATATTACTCTTCCAAATGACATAAGATTGACAGCTAAATAAAGTATATCTAGTGAATGGTGTCCCTCGGAGCTACGGTATCTACACCGCCAGGGAACTCCCTGTGGGACAGTTCACACCTGTCACCGGTGCTTCAATGGGTCAGCTATATGTGTTTTATTATATAGAATTAGAAGAAAAACGTATGGAGCTATGCAGAGTGTGAGGCATCATGACTTGATATTAATCTGTCCGGCAGTTTTCTCAGAAAAAAATATGTCCGGCAGAAATGTATCATGACTTCACATAAATCTGCCCGACAGATTTCTTAGAAAAAAATGTGTACTGAAAAGTAGCCCTAGGAAGTGCTCCCTCTGGAAATGGGTATAAGAATAAACATAACAACTACAGTTTACAGAGCTCAGTACGGGTTACAGTATAGATAATAAAATGTCAATGCATATTGTTTTAGGGGTAACATTGTAATAATGTTAATATTTCTCACAAGATTTACTGGTCGGCTTAATTCCGGATGTCGAAGCAATTAACGGGAGGAATGAAATTATTTTAAAACATTAATAACGCAAATCATTAAGAGTAAATTCGCCATCACCCACTAGCGGGAATTTAATCCCATTCCCTCTGTCATTATAATCAGTTTTCAGAACAAATGCCTTTCAACGAGAAATTATCAATATTACTGGGAGACATTAGGATGTGCTCATTTCTAAACATTATGTACGATTATCAGATTATTTTCGTCATTTTAATAGGATGAGTACTGGACACAGGCACTGACTGCCTCTATATCCACATCTCATAATGTTACATATAAATAATATGATTTGTCACGTCCTGCTATCTGTCATCATCATCATCATCATCATCATCATCATCATCATCAATGCCAATGTTTGTCTAAATTGATTTCGAAGTCTCTTATAGTTGTTGAATTTATAACATGTTCGGGCAGACCATTCCAAATACCAATAGTTCTATACTAAACGAGTTTTTTTCTGATATCTAGTCTTTATGATTAATTTATTAGACATCAGAAATCATACTACATGTAAACGGCACATAAAGTAGTTCAACCAAAAATGAATTTCAATGGCATGCACATATCACAGATGATAATACTGCTTAAATGATACATGCCAATTAGTTGAAACATATTTGGAGTTATGTTGCTGGGCTTTGTTTCACACGTGAGTTATAATGGTGTTTGCTACCATTTACTCGGACCGCGTAAAGATAAAAGTAATCATTATTAATTTTGGGATAATGTTTCGTGTTCTGTTTAGTTTCCAGAGATAACACTCCTGTGCTAACCCCTTTTATCTGGTAGATATATTGCAAAGTACCTTTCTGTCGGACATCTTTACACCAAAAAAACTGCCGGGCAGATTTGTATATCAAGTCATGATACCTTTTTGCCGGACATATTCTGCCGGACATATTTTTCTTTGAGAAAACTGCCGGGCAGATTTGTATAAAGTCATGATACGTTTCTGCCGGACATATTTTTCTCTGAGAAAACTCACGGGCAGATTTATGTAAAGTCATGATACGTTTCTGCCGGACATATTTTTCTTTGAGAAAACTGCCGGGCAGATTTGTATAAAGTCATGATACGTTTCTGCCGGACATATCAGCCATCGTAGGAAACATGAGCTACAGCATACAAGAATAATTGATAAGTAATTGCAACAACAAAAAAAGTGCCACTAACATTCAATAAACAGTCATTAACGTAATTTCCAATTAAAACTAGACTTGTAATTCGACTCTTCTATGATACACGCCAAGACGTAGAGGAGCGGAATTACGAGTCTAATTTTAACTAGATTGTATTTTTATAAAACGATAAATATTTATATAGGACCTATATGACTTCTAAAACAGAAATATTAAAGCATAAAAAGTTATGAAAATCTGATGTCAAGACAGGAAAAATAGGATATATATCTTCGTATTACCTGAAATATAATACAATGTACAGATAATTGTTAATTTATGAACTTATGAATCAGCAATTGACTTGCAAAAATATTCATAAATCATGTTATTACCAATAATATTAACCAACCTTTATTTATACAACAGAGCTGACAGCAGAGGAAATGTAAACATTCCTATAGTCAGAATAAAATCTGTGTATCTGTGTATTACGTACAGTCCTATTTTAAAGCGATTTCTCTATTATTCTCTTTATTGCCTCCAAAGATGAAGATTACGAAGTAATGTGGAACATATATATACAAAGTATTTGGTACATATATACACGAATACATAATATGCATTACATAAATATACACTTTATATATAGGGATGTGTATATAAGGTGTAAAATAATAGAGTAAACCTAAAAAGTTTCAATAAGCCAAGTAAATTATAATAAATTGTATTGACTTATACATGACTATGTATATAAAGCAATGTATCGTTGAATTTGTTAATATATGCAAAAAAGGCATTTATTGTAACATACTAACTATAAACGCGGAAGATACTTTTTTGGGTCTGGATCACATAAGGGTGGGTGATATCCCTACCTGCGAGGTGTTACGGGCCCACATATGTATACTCCCATGCATCTTAATCTGTAGTATAGTTCATATAGTATCTCATGTGATATCTTTTGCTAAGTGCACATAACTTATAGAAAATTCTACATTAGATATGTATGTATTTAACTTTTAATCATAACTATTATATACATTAAGTATAGTATAGTTTACACATCTTGTACACATAATTGATGGGTTTTATCCGGAAATCATTCAACTCTTCCTCACTTTTCAGAGTCTGATATATGTCTTTAGATACGACCATTGGTTATGTCCAAATCATTGGCATTCGATCATTCTAAGTTTAGTGATCGAGGTTTCTACGGAGACACAAGGTCCAAGGTATTTATCTAAAGTTCTGTACGATAACTAAATCTCAACTTTTTTGAACAAGAATATGTTTTCACCTTCATTTAGAGACTGTATCTTACCAACGAATGTGTGAATTATAAAGGACGGTATTATGTTCATAGTGCTCTGCTGGTGCAGCATCTTATTCCAACATTTAAACATGATCACGAACATAGTACTGAGCTGTTCGTATCGTTGTCGAACAGGGACGAAAGGATAACAACAGACTTTGATGTAAATGAAATACCCGACAGAACATGTACATTGGTCTATGTCAATCACATTCTTTTTTCCTCGTGTTATTATATCAATATGATATTTTCTATAGTTATCATCATAATGAGCCAACAGGATATATATATTAGTTGTGATACGTTGTACATATTACTAAGATTGGACAATATCAGAACAAAATATTATTAATCTAAGTACTAAATCTTTTGCCAGTGTTACTAAAACTTTACAAGGTAATGCAAGTTTAATAATGTTTCCGTCATCAACGATATACAAATACACTTATACTGTTATTTCGAGTGCCATACTTGCCGTCTGCTTCGACTATATCCATTAAAATTAGTAAAAAGCGAACAATATCAGAGAGGAAACCACAAGAACAGCGTGATGAGTCAGCGACGTTATTACAGAACAGACGTTGAAATGAGTTACATTTCATAATTTAGCATGAATTATTTGACTTTTATGACTGCCTGCATTAGAATGTGTACGAACGTATGATGTATTACCGTCTTTAAGACTTTTGCATATATTAACCGACGAGATGTTGACCATTTAGGAGCAACTTGTTCCCAAATCTAATTAAGGTAAAAAGTAATCCTAGATACATATTAGTTCGTGTAAGGACAGATTGGTATATAAATCAGATATGTATAAGTTATCCTCAGAAACGTTGACTATATTACACAAACTACTAGGCAGTCTTCCAACTAAGTTTGATCAACACGAAGGCGTTTTTGGGTCCCGCACTTGGTGAACACCGGAACATGGAAACCCAACAGGGACAGCAATTCACCCGATAAGAAAGGAACCAGTCGGAGTTCCTACATCAATACATTAGATATCACAGATCATGTCATACAGCAAAATTATTGTGTTGCCTGGAATCATGATTTCCAAAGTACTGGACAGAGAGAGAGAGCAACCTGTTCTAGCAGCATATAATCTGCTGGCTTCCATCTGGATAGGCTCTCGCACATGTGTCCGCAGCCTAATCGATCGTCATTTAGATTTGTCGAATTTATTATTCTCACTTCGTACATATTTAACATATTAATGTACAAACGGTTCTTCAGTCATTTTTCTGATGTATGTGACAGAGTACAAACCAAACTAGTCACTAAATGTCACTGCTTTGCTATTAGACCTGTCTGTAATCTGACTTTGACCTGGGGTTATATTTTCAAACCGAAAGTCGAATTACGCTGAGGATTCCTGTTGGCTTCAACAAAGACGCCATCGCTGTTGTTGAGGACGGTTATGAATAGGCTTTTAAATTAAACGGCGCTGGACTTTATAGGTATTAGGTGGCCAACCTGGTAATTAATACTGTGATATGCCCATGAAGCAAAACAAAATATGTAGGCCCGAATGCAAACGTTTGTAGGTCACTAGTAATATTAAGCTATGTAAACTATGTCTAATATATATTCCCTCTTTATTCATCATGCACCGTCGTAAAACACTTTGCTGAAGAAAAAAGCCAATATAAGATAATACATTCAGTTTAAGTTGACGGATTTAAGTTAACAAAAACCTTCCGTCCAGTGGATATTCATAATACATATATTATCCTAAAGAAAATGCACGCGGTTAAAATATTATTTAAAGACAAGAAACGACAAAAGCTGTTGAAGGAAGCATACAATTCGCCTATTCTTAA